GACACTCCGGGATCAAATCAGAAGCCAGTAGGTCTTCTGCAATTCCGGGATGTCCTGGGAAAATCGGGACACTTGAAGGGTATGCTGTATAGAAACGAATGGGGAAAACACAAACACATAGCTGTACAGGAAAGATTGTGCCACCAGAATGGTGAAAGGGAGTAGCTAATTCAAGGGTCGCCAACGCAGTGCCTGCGGGCACACATTAACCTGCAGCAGCCTCTGTTATCACCTGAAAGACCCCATCTCCCCACTGAAATTAGGGAGACAGATAGAAGCCTACAACAGAATAGTTCCCCCCACTGAGTCTAACTGCAACGTGGGGACAATTCTGGGGTGTGCATTGCCCCTGGGGTTAATTCCCCCCATACCGTAATTGTCCTGAGTCGACAGTCTATCTGGAGTTTACAAGTGGGGAGGAAAGATTAACCCTTACATCAAGGGCCCTCCAGGGTGCTGGTGGTGTTCACAACCATTTCTCTAGTTTGATGGCCTTTGAGCTAGATGCTGTGTTACCTGTTGTCTGTAGTTTAACTGGGCTATTAACAGGGTCACCCACAGCTCCCTGGCCAGGCTTTATACACAGGCCTGCAGAAGAGCTTTAACTAGGCCGGAGAGGTGCCTTCCAGATGCGGCTGGACTGCAATACCTATCATCCCCAGCTATTGGCCATGGTGGCTGGGACTGATGGGAGTTGGAGTTCAGCAACATCTGGAGGCAACTGCACCGGCCACCCATGAACTAGGCCAAGGCTGGAGAGAAGGAGAGGGAACGGCTGGAAGCAGTGCACTGTGATTGAATGCAACATGGATAATACTGTGTCGACAGCTGACAATTTGATTCAGATCGCCAGCATAGCAGTTGTCTTAAGGTCAGGGAGTACATCCCCACACACACAGTTCCGTTTGCTCCGTAAGGGCAAGCCCTGCTAGCTCATCCACAGCCTCAAGAGAGAAAGAAAATAGCAACATATGAAGAGCTCTGATGGACCAAAGAGCCATCTGGTCCAGCATTCTGTTTTCAAAACTGGCTAGCCAAATGCTTCCAGGAAGCTTAAAAGCAGAGCGCAAAAGCAAACAGATTTCCACCACCGCTTGTCCCAGCAAACATCTGATCTTCAGCGCTATACTGACTCTGACCTGTCAAGTCTCATAGCATTAAAAAAGAGAGGGGAGAATCTGAACAGGTGCTACCCATAGATGTCCATCACAAAAGGATACAGAACGGGAAATGCAAACCAAGATGCTCTTGGCAGGGCCCGCATCATAAGCATCTTTGGGTAGCTACTGGGGACCCAATGCCTGCCATGTAACTCAAGGGAGAACTAGGCCTGCCATCAACCCGCTGCCAACAGCTGCACAACCACCTCTCTAACTTGGCAGGATGACATTTCTGCTCATTTGTGTTTTGCTACAGTGCTACTTACACATTGCAAAACAGGGAGAGCTAATCACCCACAGGAATGTAGAAATTGCTGTAATTCAAATAAAGGAAACACATCCCTCTAAAGGCAGACTTGCATAAAACTTGCATATGTCTATTTACATGTATAGCTGCACATGTAACAATAACTACCATAATTCAAACATAAATACATCTCACCGTAGGAAGAGAGACTGTGACCAGGCGGCCTGGTTGCCTGCTTAGTCTTCTTTCCAGCTATCTGCCCAAGACCCTTGTTCTCCCTTTTTATTATTTATCTATAAACTGGACTTGACTTGGACCAGATAGCCAGTGTGGTGTAGTGGTTAAGAGCAGTGGACTCGTAATCTGGTGAACCGGGTTTGATTCCCCGCTCCTCCACATGCAGCTGCTGGGTGACCTTAGGCTAGTCACAGTTGTCTGAAGTCTCTCAGCCTCACTCACCTCACAGAGTGTTTGTTGTGGGGCAGGAAGGGAAAGGAGATTGTTAGCCACTTTGAGACTCCTTAAGAGGAGTGAAAGGCAGGATATCAAGTCCAAACTCTCTCTTCTTTCAAACTAGTGCTATGTTGAACCTGCCCCCCCCCCCCGTTTCTCAAAAAGTTACCTTTCCCTGAACAAGAGACTTCTCTTTTTCTGCCTCATTCTCCAGGTGCTTTAGAACTTCAGAATTTCAGTTGCCATAGGTGGTGTGTTTATTCCCTCAATATTATTTTTATTCAATTTTTCCAATACAAAATTTATACAATTCATACATCTTTTTTATATCCATTCTCTTTTTGACTTCCCTCAACTTGACTGATACTCCTTCCCTTCTTAATTTCTTGCACATTTCTAAAATCTTACTTCCATTATTTTTATAGATTAAATCTTATTTTGCTCACATTCTAACGTTTCTTCTTACAGAGCTTCATTAAAGCTTACAAGCATTATTTGATTATCACTTAATTTATGCATATACTCTGTAAACTTTTCCCAATCTTCTAAAAATCTCTGATCTCGTCGATTTCGGGTCCTTCCCGTCAGTCTATCAAGTTCTGCATAGTCCGTCATCTTCATTCTCCATTCGTCTAGTGTAGGTAGCTCGGTGGTGTTTATTGGAAGGGGAGCAAGGAGACACATTTCTCTAAAACCTTGCTGCCTCCAGGCTGCCTACATTTCCCAACCTGAAAAGGGTCCATAGGAACTCACATAGAATCATGGAATCATAGAATTGTAGTGTTAGAAGTGACCCAGAGGATCATCTAGTCCAACCTCCTGCAAGGCATCTTAAAAAAATATATTTAAAAATAAAAAAGCTTCACTTAAACAAATTAAAGCCAGCACCTGTCAGGCACAGAGTAGGCAGCAGCAGCAGCAGCGGGTATTGGTATTGTTTGTTACCACGCTATGTATATTTGTGTTTTTATATTGTAAACCACCCTGTGATCCTTGGATGAATTTAATTACTTCTTTGTTTTGTTTCTGCTCTTGTTCTCCTTACGTATTTAGTACTTTTATATTGCATTTTTATGCTGTGAGCTGACATGAGATCTACGGGTGAAAGGTGGTATACAAATTCAATTAAATAACAATCCCCACCCACTCCACCCCACTTTCTTGTGCTAACAGAAGAACCCAACACTGGGCACCATGGGATCTTCAGGAAAAGCAAGGCTGCAGAGTTCAGGCAAAGAACTGATTTATGGAATGAAAAGACACTCACTCCTGACTACCTTGAAAGCATGGCGAGGACAACAAAACCCTGCACAGCACCCCATGGGAATTTTCACCAAATTTTACTTTCTCCTTTAATAATTTACTGGTGTAATTCCTTTTCTCATTACTTGATGGAGAATACTAATGAAACACATGGGGGATAACTATTATTATTTAGCACAGCTCTACTTTAAACCAAAGTCTGTCTTCTCTAAAGTAAGGTATCTGACCACCCCTAGTGACAATAGTCAGCCTCCACAGGTAGAAGAGCTTCCGAACAGCAGCTGCTGAGAGTGCTGCTGTGCTTGGTTCCTGCCAGTGGTGTCACAAGGTGGGGACGGGGGGGGGCGGTGTGCCCAGGGTTCCATGTCTTGGGGGGGTGACAAGAAGGCACCCCTCAGGGGTGCCTGCCCTGCTGCCCCAGCCCGGGCGCAGTAGCGCGAACAGCCATTGTGTGGCCGCAGCCTCATGTGGAGGATCTTCCGTTCAGGGCTGTAGCCGCGAGCAAAGGATCCCGTCACCATCCGTACAGCGTTCGAGCAGCGCCAGTGGCAAACCGCTACGTACGACGCATGTGTGGTGTCGCACGCATGTGCTGTACACAGCGACGCTGAACATGCGCTGTACATAGCGGTTTGCCACCGGCGCCGCTGGAGCGCCGTACGGACGGTGGTGGGATGCCTCCACCACCGGCAAGAGCCACTTATGGTGAGCCAGGGGCCCCTTCCCAGCCTCCCTCCCTCTCTGGCTCACCGTAAGCGGCTCCCGCTTTGCCAGTGCCCCAGATGACGAGCTGTGCCGCTATGCCAGTGCCCTGGCAAAGCGGCATAGCTCCCCCCTTCCCCCGACAGCTCAGGGTACTTGGGAGTCGCGGGGGCAGGGGCGCAGAGGCATAGGAAGGGGGGCGGACCACCCAAAGTGTCATCGCTGAGGGGGTGACATGCGGCGCCCGCCCACGACTCCCAAGCCTACTCCAAGCTGTCGATGTGGGGGGGTGGCAAATTTTTTTTGCACCAGGGTCTCCCACAGACCAGCCACTGTGAGAACAAGATGCTGGACCAGATGGGCCACTGGCCTGATGCAGCAAGCTCTTCTTGTTATACAGTGGTACCTCGGGTTAAGTACTTAATTTGTTCCAGAGGTCTGTTCTTAACCTGAAGCACCACTTTAGCCAATGGGGCCTCCTGCTGCCACTGCGCCACCGGAGCACGATTTCTGTTCTCATTCTGAATCAAAGTTCTTAACCTGAAGCACTATTTCTGGGTTAGCGGAGTCTGTAACCTGAAGCGTATGTAACCCGAGGTACCACTGTATTCTTAATGGTCCCCTAGCTGGCTACTGCCTGCCATTCCACACACACAGTGCCCCCAACTGGCAGTGCATTGTGGGGGTGCAGAAGTGGCATGCGTCAGCTGACACCTGTTAGCTGTTACTGCTCCTGCTACTACACTGAAAGGGGAGCCCAGCAACCCAGCCCAAGGTTTTGTGCAGAGATAAGGAAGCTCATACCTGTGGAGAGGGCAAACACACAGCCCTCCAGACCTCTCTATCTTGGGACTTCCCCCAGCACCTCTCACCAGCCCTCCCTGTGCATTTTTGCCTGTCCAAAATGAGTCCTTGATCTCCGATAACGGCTCTTGCCTGCAGGATGAGGAGGGGCAAGCCAATGTTTGTAGAAACTCGTGAACTGTATACCATGCGTTGCTCTGTCCACTTTCCAGCCTGCTCATCACAGGCATGTGGCCCTGAAATGCCACCCAGATGCAAATGTGGCCTTTGGGAATGGTAAACCTCCCCCATCTCTCGTTTATGGCTTTCTTAGAATCAGAGTTGCAAAGGACCACAAGGGTCACCCAACCCTCTGCAATGCAGGAATCTTTTGCCCAACTTAGGGCTCAAACCCACAACCCTGAGATTAACAGCCTCATGGTTTATCACCTGAGCTACCCCAGACTTCCTGAGTAATAAAGCCCAAACCACACTGGTTGGTAGCCTTGCTTGAACTCTTAACCATAGTGCAGCAGGTGGATGAAGCTTCTCTACCTCAGGACCGTCCTCCTGCCACACCCACCCTGCAGCCCGCCTGAGTCATGAAACCTGTCATTTCCATAGTTTATACAAGATAGGGAGATAACAGGCTTAACCACGCACATTAAGATAGGGAAGCGAACTTTGAGACAAAAAACATTTGAACAAGAGAAAAACATTAACAGGGTTACACGAAATGTCCCAAGTAGAAATCAGACCTTGGAGGAAATGAATTAGCATAAACCGGTGTCGCATAGAGGCTGCAAACATGTGCCAAAAAACCATCCCTTCAAATCTCACTTCCGACAAAGCATTACACAATTTTCCTTCGACTGTTCCTCAACTGGCTTGGTTTCCAGACCCTTCCTTGATCATCTCAGTCGCCTTCTTCTGCACACCTTTCAGCTTGTCAATATCCTTCTTAAACTGTGATGCCCAGAACTTTTTTTAGATAAATAAAAAAAAGATAATTTAAGTATGTGAGCTTAAGAGTGTCAGAACACAAAAATGACATCAAAACATCAAAATAATTACCTACGAGCTTATTCATCAATCATGGGCTAAATGGAAAGAGACAGAGAGAGGCGCAGAGAGAGAGAGAGAGAGAGAGAGAGAGAGAGAGAGGACAGCCTAAATGAAGAAAGCTTGAGCAATGCTTCTATTTTTATACAGAATTTCTAGAAATCCTTGTTGACGTTTGCAGATCAAAAGGAGCTAATTCATGATGCCGAATAGGAAATGTGGAAAAGAAACAATAGGCTCAGGTTAATATCCACTTAATTGCTAAAAGGTCTCCTAAATCTGTGAATAATCTAATAATTTCCTAACGATGTTTTCCGTTTGATTCTCCTCCAAGGGATACAGGAAATCATATACCTGGGAGTACATGAGGTGGCTTGGATAACATCGGATTAGACTTTTAAAGCCCTGGGGCAAAGGAAAGAAACTTGCATGGTACACGGGGGCGTCTGGTACAGTTAGTAGCATCTAACAGTCAGCTTGTTATGACAGCTGTGGAAAAAGTTGGCTCAGAGGTTAGCTGAATGTGCAATATAAGAGGAATTATGGCGTTGTTGTTTTTAAGTTATGGGGTTGTTTCCTGTGATGGAAATAGAGCAGCAAAGGCTGAAAACGGAAGAAATTGAGGTATTTCTGAAAGCCTGCTCATACTTGTTCAATAAGAGTTATCTCTTTGTGTTTGGGGGCTCAGAGTTGTGTTCTGCTATACATTTTGATGGATTTTGAACTGGTCGGCTTTGCCTCACGGAAACTCCCAAAGCAGGTTGTGTGTGTGTGTGTGTGTGTGTGTGTGTGTATACACGTCTACACATGTACATACACAGAAATATGGGGCTGCCACCCCTGTTTGCCAATCCCACCTACCTGCCAAACCTGCTTCCCCCACACCTGGCTGACCCCTCCTCTCTTTACACCTGAACAACCCCTTTCCCTTTACCCCTCACAACGCCCCGACGCTCTGCCTCTTTTAAAGGAGGGTGGGAGGCGTTTCAGAGAGCAGTTTGGCAAACCGCTTTCTGCAACGCCTCTCCCTCTCTGTTACACCTCCCCGCAGTCGCATTATGAACACATTGTAGTAACAACACTTGGGGAGGTCCACAGCAGAGCAAAAAGGGGTATGGCTGGGTGGGGGCCTGGAGGGTCAGATTTGGGCCCATCTCAATGGGGGGACTTGTCGGCCTTGCTCCTGGCTCCTAACCAAGCACATGCTTAGGACTAGGGCTGGGTGATATCTGGTTTTCAACATCACGATATATCACCAGCTAAACATTGCAATACAGTGGTACCTCGGGTTACAGACACTTCAGGTCACAGACACTTCAGGTCACAGACTCCACTAACCCAGAAATATTACCTCAGGTAAAGAACTTTACCTCAGGATGAGAACAGAAACTGTGCACCAGCGATGCAGCAGCAGGAGGAGGCCCCATTAACTAAAGTGGTACCTCAGGTTAAGAACAGTTTCAGGTTAAGAACAGACCTCCGGAACAAATTAAGTTCTTAACCCGAGGTACCACTGTATACTGATATATCACCATGTCTGAAATAAGGATCAAGCTATGTATAGGCATTGGTTGGCTTCATGGTTTTTCACACGTTGTGAGTTTTTCATAGCACACACACACATAACAATTTGCAATATATTGACAGGTCAAAAACCTTGAAACCAATATCACGATATGACTTGAGACAGGTTTGGGACGATTTATCAAAATAAAGCCCAGCCCGACTTAGGATGGTGGTGAAATAAATTAAGGTTGAATTGATCTAGCACAAGAGATGTACAAATATGGTTGTCTTAAAAACCTTGTTTGTTTATTTTCCTGCTTACTCTTGGAGATGTCCACTCTCAGGCCTGGAGTGAAGAAAGCAAAGGTTGCAAAATATCAACATGCAACCCTTCTGCTTGTCAAGTGAATACTAAAACAGAGCAGCGCAGCAAGCAGCCTTCTCTATCAAGAAGCATAGCTTCTCAACCCCAACCTACCCTGGAAAATGCAAGTTTCTGGAGTCAAAAGTTGTAATGAGATCTCCCTAAGTTTCTCGAAACAGCAGTGAGTATGGAGCTGTCACTATCTGTCAGCTCTTGCACCGGCAGCTTGGCCAGCCCTGTGGAATTAGGGAAACCGAATACAATCAGACTGTCAAATCAAACAGCAGTTACAAAGGCATTTCTTGGGCACCCTCAAGCAGCATTCCAGCAGATAAGACCCTGTGCAGTTCCGCTGCAGATAATGAACTCTGAACATTGCTGGGAAGCTTTCCTAGAAATGGCAAAACACCTCTTTTAATGCAATTTGCTGGGTTTTTTCCTCTTTTAATTTGCCAGTAGAATGGATGAATAACTTCTACTTAGGTTTCTCCTCTGAGCTGGAAAACAGTAGGATAACTACCATTTGTAAGATGCTGCCAGATAGTTTTATTTTTTTAATACTTATCCATATACTCACTGGAGCAAACCTGATACCAGTCACTGTAAATAACAAGCCACACATTGTTCAGGACAGGTAATTTCTGTTGATTTCAGAACAGCTTCCTTCTTATGTCGTGAATTTAGAACAACAGTGTTAAACAACAAGGCTTTTAAAAAAAGGGTCAGTTTGGAAGTATTTTGAATCGATATGCTGGTTTAAGTAACATGATTTTTTTTTAATTAAATAAACCCTGTTGTATATCTCCAAGGAGATGGGGAAAATACTTGGCCTGATTTACACATTCTGTTTTTGGGACATGGCCGTCTTCCCAGACATCACTCCTGGATTTAAAAACTACTTAATATGTAACAAGAGTTTAAGGGCTGTGCCCATGTTAGATTTATGCAACAAGGCCACACACAGCTATAATTGGGGAAGCCATGATCCTCTGTCAGACCATTCCTGGAACCCGAATATTCCTTGGAGAACAAAATTGTGAGGGAGCTGGTTAATATATTCCGCAAAAGTCAGGAAAGCAGGTTACTTCATTTTCCTATTTCTGCATAACACAAGGCTGCAAGGGAGAAGGTCTCAGTGGGTACCTGTGTGCCCACAGGTTGCCACGTTGGCAACCGCAGCATAAGGCGTAAACATCATATAAACCAAATGTAACATTAGTGGCATGGATATTGCCACCAGAGCTAGAGGGATGCGAACAAAGGAATCAACCTTTGTGATGGGAATTAGCTGGCTTTTTAAGATGTGCCACTTTGATAAGACAAACCCCGTATTTCCAAGGTGTAAAAACTACATTTCAATTAGTCTGCTTGTCTTGAGGAAAGCATGCTCAGTTTCCTCAGTGGATCAGAGCCCGCCATCCAACAGCAGAAGCCTCAGAGCCCACATCTTGCCTTGTTTCCTGTCCTGTTGGATAAGTGATGCTAAATCAGTCTGAGTGCCCAGTGAATGCTGTAGGAGGAATTAACGTTTGTTTAAGCAAAGTAAGCTTTCTGTTAAGGGTATGCACTTCCAGGGGGGTGGGGGGTGGGAATCTGTCATTTGAAGCAAAGTTTCCTCAACCACCATCCTCATTGGTAAGGTCCGCAATGTTAATTCTTCTATTCCTGTTTATATAGATATAAACACACAAATATATACAATTGCTCCTCCATCTTTTAACTGTGTGCAGCTGAAATTCTGCCAATTTTCATTGGGTGATATTGCTGAGAAGCTGGGTAGCTTTTCCAGGCTATCAGATACGAACGACCCTTTTTGAATTCCTCCAGACACATGGTGGACTGACAATTGCCAGCTGTCTGAAGTTATGGAGTGACATAATTTGAATTGTATTCTATTGTGATGGGGGGGATCCTTTCTCCCTTTCCATTGGCACAGAAGCAATATGCTCTTTAGGCTAAGCACTGGGACTAAAAGGTATTTTATTTCAACCATGTGGACCTTGCATTCAGAATAGCTGTCAGTAGCTGTGATTTATTATCAACTAACAGGCCATTCAGATGTGCTGATGCCAGAAGTGGACAAGCTGGCTATTTTGCAATGAATTTATAGACTGTCCCTAATCCTCAGACCCACATTCCTCTTCTTTTATAGCCCCATGCCGAACCTTCTTGTGACCAATGGACCCTGGGGGTTATTTGGGCCTAAGTGCCTCTGTCTACCAGTCAGACACATAAATTAATAACTTACCCCTTCCCGGGAGCTTGAGAAAAACCAAAGCTTAAACTTAAGGCAGGGTCAACAACTGCAGTTGCTTTGCTGTGGCTGAAGGATGAAGAAATTAAGGCTGGAGGAAGGATTGGGTTGAAGTAAAAAGGTGGAAAATGAATAAGAACACAATCCTACACCCACCCACCCCTTACCACAGTAGATAGATGGAGATGTGGGCGTAGAATGGCATACAGTTGCCCCTCCACAGGTGGAGAGCATTGCCTGGTGGGGGGAGGGGACGACAAGAGCATTGTTTCATCTCATT